TGTACACTGGGTGTCCACATAAATGTGATTACATACATAAAGTCCTTGTGGTTGTAAATTCTGGATATGCATGGACATGGGAAAACAAACATTGCTAAACACGAATGTTGAAAGTATAACTGAACCTTTTAACAGTTCTGTGGAGGTTGGGGGACAGTCAGCCAATATGTTGTGGCATATTTTACATCTCACTTTTTAATTCTTGCAACAGTCGCCAAGTTAAAATGATCCCACTGACATTACACCAGTAACCTGCCCAGTTTGGAGTTCATCAGGAGATGACGTTGCACAGCCTAACTCTCAGGTGAACCTGATCACTTCTATGGCTCATTAGGCCTCCTCTCAGGACTGCTCTGGCTGCGTTTGGCATTTCCTCTTCCTCTCTGTTTTGGCACCTGTTATATTCTTACTGGTACATTTTCACAGCAGACATTTTTTACTTGTCATTGTAGGAAATGTAAACAACTTACTAATAACATATTGAAGTGTCTCATTAAGTCCTGACAGTGTGAAAATGAGTCATCGTGAACAATACCAGTGCCCTGAAATGAAAGCTGTTAAATGGAACTGAGCCCTCATTAATTTTATTTTTAATACCCATGCTTTTTCTACAGTGTTGTCAAAATGTTTTCTGTCTATTTCCAGGATATCTCTGCCCACCGTCAACCCTGAGTGGAGGTTTAATCAGTCAGAGGAAGTGAAACCACCAAACAAATGATACCATAAGGACAAAGGGTGGGTTTATTTGCTTAAAATAATTTTTAAGTTTGTTTTACTAGTTGTTGCTGCACCTCAGACAGCTTTATTCAGAGAGGTTAGACCCAGCAAATAACACGAAACGTGAAGCCTTGAAAACTAAAGCCTACTGTTTATTACTGTATGTTACAGAGTAAACCTATGTGACTGCTGTATTTCATGCCCGTCCACTATGAGCCAGCCGTCTTCTGCAAGATCATAAATCACTGTCACTTTCTTCACAGAGAATAACTGCCCTCTTTTAGCATCTGTAGGGTCTCTTTACTTCTTTGTCAGTACGTGGACAGTTATTCTATGAACAATTCTTGATTCTACAGGGTCATAAATGCCAAGGTTATTTGTGAAATAATACAAAAATGCATTTAAATTTTATTCATATTCTGCCAACCTTTTTTAATCTCCCTTAAATGGCTGTACAGTATAAGTGAACTTGTGGCCTAAGAGGCTGCTGATTTTCACCTACACCTAGTGAAGCTGAACTCAACCAATGATATTATTCAGAGCTCTTGAGCTGCTTTAACTGAAAAATGTCAGTGAGACTTTAAGTCTGGTTTGCAGGAGGCTCCGGGTGCTAATTATCAACAATTATCACTCTGCAGATTCACAGCAAAGACTATGTTTTAATTTAGCTGTTTGACCTGACATGTGACCGCGAATCAGGCTCCAATTTCCATCGTTATAGCACACGAAGAAAGAAAATATACGGGTCATTGCCTGCCATCCATTATTAAGTTTAAATACACGGCTACTGGAGAACGTACCTGTCTTTCAACCAGTAGCAAACTGCCTTTTTAGAAAAGAAGAAACGGCTCATTTTTAGTTAAGAATCGCTGTGTATTAAAAAAAAAAAATGCTAGAATTAAAAGACAGCTTGGTCATTTGAATTCTTGGATGAAATCTGACTTTTTTTTTAACTAACTGTTTAATAATTGCAACAGTTACTTGGACAGTAAGTTGCCTTCTGACCCCTTGCACAATAATAATAATAAAAAAAACCATCCTGCAGCAGTACATTTCACACTGGGACCAATTACTTCTTCACTTTTTTTGCTGGATCAATGCTCTATTCCATTACGTATCCCCAGTGCAGCTCTGTGAATGGATCTTTTTTACTGCTGTGCCTGAGACCTGCCAATGCTGCTG